CTTCTTTGTTTTTTAAACCACAAATATTGTCCTCCAATGTTTGGAGCAGCGCCTGGAACGAGAGACCATCTTTATATTTTGTATTTGTTGGATTAGTCGTAGTAGATTGGATATTGGTTTTGTATTTTTTTTCAGAGATGGGGAAAGCATTTTAAAACGCGGAGGAGAACGAGGAGCCCTGTTGTTTTTAAAGATCAGAAACTTCTCAACAGGAGTGTGCAGTGTTTTTTATAGCCAAACAGACAGACAGACAGACACTGACAGACAGACTACACGTATTCACTCGACTGACAGTCCTGCTTTTAACCTTTTTGTTTACTCTCTTCTTTTTTTACGGGGGAAGGGACGAGAGGTCAATCCGAGAGCCGAAATGTGAATCTCTCTCTGCCCCTCGACAAAAGTGTTGTATAGACTCTCATTCTTCAAACCTCTCCTTTTTTGTTTTGTTTTGTTTATTTGTTGTTGTTGTTGTCGTCAGACAGCATGGATTAATGACACTTGCAAAGTGGCGCTGAAAAAGTAAATAATGACATAACCATGAATAAAGGATTGTAAAATATTAATAAAAGAATTACTTTTCAGAAAACTGCGCTGAGTGTTGGTTTGTGTTCAGCAGAGTCTCCTAAATGTTACACAGCCGACCTTTGACACCTACAGAGACAAAGTTCAACCTTGTTGTGTGTTGATGCTTTATTCCTTCAGGTATCCAGTAGCTCAGACCGTCAGCATACAGAGATTATTTCTTTTAGGTTATCTTAAACACACCAGTAACAAATGCCTTCAGCTGTTGTACACATTATATCTGTAAATATGATATTTAAAGGAGAAACGTAGCCGACTTTCCACCATCTGAATCTGTACATGTCGAGCAGCCAGTGTGGAAAGAGACGAGAGAACGATTCAGAGTGGTGATGGCGGTCGACCTGAGGGCGGTTAGGGTGAGCGATGAATGAATGAACGAGCAGGTTAAAGAACTTTCTGAATCCAAGGAGGGTTTTATTGATTTGTCTATTGTACAGGAATAAAGTGATGGCTCCGTGGAGGGTCAGACCGAAGGTAGTTAACATTAACAGTGTGAACTATTGTACACTGTGCAAAAACACCAGTATAGTCCTTTAACGCTAAAGCGATGAACCCATTTTCACCCAAAGACTGTATTTAGTATGATAAGGAATAAACATTTGTTCTGGTCGGTCTCAAGTTCTGAAATGTGGTACCTACACACTCTGTCCAAGTACCTAACAGTACAGTGTGTGTGAGAGGTATTTATGTATTTGAGAGTTAGAAGTTAAATAAAAAAAAGCAAGATTTGAGATCTAACAAGCAAATGGACACACTTCCTCCATTAGTTTCAAAACTAATACAGCAACTGTTTACAGCTGCTGTCTAACTAATAATAGTTGTGTATAACTTTTATTTATTTGGAATAGAGCCGGTTGCATGTGTGTACTGAAAATAATAAAAATCCTCCCATTTTTATTGCTTATTTTAGGCCGTTTTCCTTCATTTTAAGAACAATCATTGTAGTCTGATGTGCCCAAAGACAAGAAAAACAAACTGGTTTGACCGATTCCGGAGGTTTCTTCAGATTTATAATAAATAAATAGGTTAATTAGATTTAATTTCATGTTGTTTAAGAGTAAAGTGCCTAATAATTGTAAGTTTGTAGATAATAGATCCTTATTAGGTAAATACTAGAATTGAATAAATAGTTTGGTCCCAAAACAAGACCTGGAGCCACAAAGTTAAATACCAGGCTAAATAATTCTGGAGAGTAATTAATATTAATTATTACAGCGATATCGTCAATACTAATGACTCCTTACTACTAATAATAACACATATAAAACCCCTCAGATACATAAAGGTCATTTTGTGCTACGCAGACATTAAAATGTGACTTTTGGAGTGTTTTTTTTGTGTGTGGAAAATGAGTTCTTACTGTATCAGCAGCTCACTGGTGAGCAGCATCAGAGATACACAGCCGTCCCAAAGACCGGGAACCAGGAGGGACTCTCTGATCTGGAACAAACTGCAGATCAGCTGCTGCACTTCTGGGACTCGACAGGCAAACCTGAAACACTCTGCAGCACCCATTACTGCCGCACCTGTCACTTCACCGGTGAGCAGCACGGACATTACAGAGCCGTGCTGTGCCTCTCATAAGTGTGGCTGCATTATGTGCTACTGTATGGAACAATAAAGCTTTAATGAAGCTTTAGTGGCTGCATACGGCTTGTCAGGGAAACCCATTAGCAGGAGTGTTTGGCTCAAGGCTGCTGTTCAGATCCTTTTATTCATATAGTCTCCATCGCTGCTGCTCATTGGCTCGTTTCTGCACCCGTCAACAGAGCTGGAAAGTACATTTACATTTTATTTACCATTAACTTTCATTCTGAACTGTTTGGAAGAGTTTGTCTTTACATTTTTGCTGCTTTTTTTTACGTTTGTTTGATGGATGTAGTTATTTTACAGACACACATTTTACATTAAAACATGATAATTTGATCAAATATTTACAATCCAACCATACAATTCTAACCTGCTACAACATTAACATGCAGTATGTTCTGAATCACTAATGTAACACTCATTAAAAGACCGTTTTTGAGTGCTTAGTGGAGGCAGCTCGGTTCTGATACACAATCATACAGATCATACTTAAAGTCACTTATCCAGAATATCAAAACCAGAAAAAAGTTCCACGCTTGAAGCAAGTTTTGCGCAACTTTTTCAACTTCAACTTTAAAATTTGTGTGCAGCAAAGGGAAACGCACAGACCTAGATACATAAAATGTAATAAACAATAAAAATGTGTCAAACAAAGCAGAGAACATATAGTCATATAAGACCTGGAGTGCACCCAGCCATCATCACACATTTAAAGCTCTAATCTGCAACATTTCTGCATTAAAATGTCTATAAACTCTGGCTCTACGTTCTCTATGTAGTTGAGTTCTTCCATTATCCTTGGAAAGGACATTTTTATCTACAGACTAAGTCGCCTATCATGGAGTTCGCCATGTTTCTACAGTAGCCCAGAACGGGACCAAACCAAACACTGTCGAGATTCTGCTGTGTGTGTGTTTCTAAATCTTACACAGTGACCTTTAATATCTGAACATTTCCTCCAGCACTGTATTGAATAAACGGTTAATAACGCACTCTAAATTGGAAGCAGAAGACTTTAAGTCAAGTGGCAACCAGCGAATGTTGTCGACAGCTACATTATAAAACATCTGCTACTATATTGAGAGTGTGTTGTAAACGCTTCAATTTAATATTAATTAAGTCTGCATATAAAACGCTGAATTGACAGGTAAAGTAAACTGTTACCTTTATTATTTATTTTTAAGACTGCTGATACTCTTTTAGTTGGGTTCAGTTAGCCAGGATATTCCAATGAAATCACTTAGTGATCATTAATCAGCCAATATTGATTTAAATGCAGAAAAGCCAAAAAGTCCAAGCTTCCAGGTTCTGAAATGTGCATTTTGGATCGTCGTTGGGATAAAATGAGCTAATTAGTATTGCAGCTTTGGCGCTTAAAGATCCTCTCCAGACATGTATAGATCATAGACACAAGAAAGTTTAAATTTCCACCATTAAAAACACATACTCCTTCTGGCCATTATAAAAATGATAATAAGACTGTGAGGGTAAGAGAACAGATGTCTTTGAGTGAAGGCTTTTTAAACTCTTCTCTAAACTATCCTTTATAAACAAAACCAAGTAATTGAATAAGGGATTATGAAGTAAATGAAAAGAATCATTAGTTGTAGTGTCTTAGCTAGGCTCCATAAACTGAAACAGTAACAGGAAATTACCTTCAAAACATGCGGATTCTGGAGACAGGAACAGAAACTGACATTTAATAAGCAGCTGTGTCTTATAAATACATCTCTGTTCGTTCATGCGACCAGTAGAACTAAATAGTGGCTTCAGCTTTATATCCAAGCTCATGAAGTGTCGGCTTTTGGAATAAAGCACGCACTAGTTAAGTAACACGTGGACGTTCTGGGGAGGCGCTGCGAGCCGAGCGTGCTGCTGAACGTTAGACTCGTACTTGTTAAAAAGCACCAACGGATCTTAAACAGGGATGGGGTAGAAATGTGGCTTAGGACTAGGTATAAACAGTCAATGTATGACAGCTTCTGGCAGCAACCACAGCGCTGACGCAGGCACAAAAGGGATTGACGCCATCAACAGGCGAACCGCTGAAACGCAAGCGTTACCTGAATGAAAATGACCAGATTTCTATGAGGGTTTGAACATTGTGGAAACATTTAGT